ATGACGAAATGGCTTGAAGATGAATCCTGTTCGATGGGAACTTCTTCAGATTCTACAAGGACAGATTCAACGGGACTACTAGGGTATTCAATGATTGGGTCATTCATCGGCATTTGTAAGTCACAGGGTGGTGGTGGAGAGTAGTGTTTGAGATCTTTTCTCATGTATATTGCTAGATGTGGCTCGATAACCTTTGAAGGTCCACATGGATGACTTATAATCACAGTCGTTGTGAATTTCCCAACGAATGTCTGCCCTCCTACAATAGGCAATAAAATGATTTGGATTCCTTGTGAAGCCAATTACTCCGGTTAACCTGCAAAAATCAAGAAATGATCTTTCTGTAATAATATCACGGGATATCGATATCAACAATCCCTTGATTTGTTCTTTATTGACACAAATGCTCACCTGTATATTGATCCAAGATTTATCGTTGATAGAATTTGTTCAAGTCGACACGTTTTCCCAATCTCTGCCTTAAGATCCTCCCGAATATCAAGCTCAATACATACATAATAATGTGGCAGTATAGTCAGTAAACACTCCTGTCTGCACCCCTTACACTGAATAGGGTAATCACCATGAGCAAAGAGCAAAGCACCTTCCAATGCGTTGAATCCTTCAGCTATAATCACACTGGTATCAACTTTAATACTGTTTTGTACCTCACGATAGACTCCACAGCCTACACACTCGTAAGTCAGTGTGCGACTTGCATCGAGTGGTAGACAGTACATCCAGGTTTCCATAGGAGGGTTCATTGTATCAATACTATAAACGAAGGTATTTTTGGTGAGTTGGATTTGAATTTTCTTTCTCTGATTGAACAGCTTGCCTAGGATCAGATCTCTTGTTTTGTGGACCTCTACTGTTGGACCTTCCTGCTTGGCCTTTAATACTAGATCAAGAGTCATTCTTTTCTCCTCGAATGAGGTTCACAAAGTCCTCAGAATCAATAGCCATTAGGCAGGCCCAGAAAACATTTTTTCCGAATTCCAATTTGCAAGTTTACGGAAACGAAAGCTCATTAGTTCAAATGACTGTGTGATTTTTTTCCGATTTTTAGAACCATATTTTGAGCTTCCGCAACGATTTGGAATTTGTTATGACGTTATACACGTGAAAAAGTCAATTAAGTTTCGAATCGTGATTATATGAGTAAACTTTTCATATTTTCTTGAATACTTGGTGGGAAACTATTGACAANGTTCCGTTTGCCTTCAATCCCCTTATTCTTCCAATTATCCAGAGAATCAGGAGAATCAATTGAATGTTCTGTGTCTCGCCACTGATTGTTGGTAACATTTTCATCACTGTGACTCTCATACTCTTCTGACAATGTGACGTGACT